TTGCCAGGAAGGATCTCATGATGCTTCCCCTCCCCTCCCCTCCAGTCCTGCTCTTTCCTCCAGACTGTGTTTACCTCCATCTCTGCAAAGCTTCCACCTCAAGTTTTTCATCCCCACCTGGTTGCACTGATCTCAGTGGCTGTTGTAATTCATCCACATGGATCCTTTCTGCACTGAACTCTGAGTCTTTTGCCCACTTTTGTATTCTCAGGGTCTAAGAAATGCTTTAAGGTATGTGATTTTCCTCTTTATTTAGAAGGAAGCAGGCATGTGAATGAAGGGCATCAACCTTTGCTAACTGTACCACAGGCTAGTGTGTGTGAAGAGAAATCACGACTGTTCTATTTACTTTTGCAAAAAGTGTTTGACTTTTACTTGACTCAGAACCTTTGCTGGGAGGTGTGGACATAATGCACAACTAGTTCTTAAGCATCTCAATGTTTTCTTATTTCAGCTCTGGATTAATCGAATTACAGCTGCCTCCCAGGAACATGGACTGAAATACCCAGCATTCATTGTCAATTTAATTAAGGTACGGTTTAGGATGTGGTCTTGTTGAGATGTTGAAATCTACAGAAAGTGATCCAGCTGACACGGTCCAGTACAACAGGCTGTGGAGTGTTGGCTCCTTGGCACGTTCTCAAGGTGGAGCTGTGGCAGGTTCAGGGACCCACTGCAATTGCTTTGCCTTTGCCTCGCTGGTAGCAGAATTGGAAATAGGGCAGCGATACCAGGACATGAGCCCTTGTGTTTTCCCATCAAGAGAAAAGGGGCAGAAAACTTGGCTGGACCTTTAAAGTGTAATTTCAAAGTTTTGCACTGAAAGATTTCTGATGAGGTAGCAGATGAAGTTGAAACTCAGCAGGGGGACTATCTTGGACAGGAGAGATTAAGCATGTGTCACAACATTTTGGTTAATTGTTGAATCTGGTGTTTACGCTAATCCCTCTTATATTTAAATTTTTTCTTAAAAAGGGGAGTGGGTGTTGTGCTTCTAGCCTGTCCCACATCCTGTCTTCGGTACTTTGCAAGTATCCTCATGCATGACTTCGTCATTGTACTGATGAGCTCGAGGCTCAGAGTGGACCTTGCCCCAGGTGGTAGAGCAGGAACCACCCTTGCACAGTTACAGTTCACACGCAGGCTCATCCTACTTTTTGCTTTTCACGTTCGTCTGTTTTTGGAAGTCACATGTAGTTTTACTTGTTAGCTGATCTGGTGCCGTTCCCTTGTGGGAATCAAGAATACCCACTTTTGTTCTTTACTCCTCTGCCGGCATATCACATACTTATGTGTCTCATTTTGTTGTTTCTTCAAGGGGGATTGTGATTTCCTCTTTGAAGCTGCCTTAAAGGTTTCCCCAGGCCAGCAGTCCTAGTTCTTTCGGGGTGACTGATGATCGATCGTTGACCCTAACAAGGTTCTTAGGGTCTACCAGGACCAGATGTTGGCATCCTTGCTCATGGGATATCACCTCCTGCAGGATGCCTTCCCCTTGTCCACGTTTACCTTCAGCATCCTGCTTGGATACATTTGCCACAGGCTCTCCACCTCCCCAGAGAGCCCATGTGTCCCGGGAGGGCAGAGACTGCCCTGGAGTGGGTGCTCAGCAGAGGAGAGGCTTCTGGCTGACTCAAAGCATAGGACTCTTAGCTGCATTCAGTCTTGCTGCCTTTCACTGAAAGACATTTCTGATGCTGACACAGGCTCTGATTTTCTTCCCAGTGCCAGGTGGAGCTCAACAGAAAAGTACTTGCAGATCTAGCCATCTATGAACCAAAGACTTTTAAATCTTTGGCTGCTTTGGCCAAAACAAGGCGACAAGAAGGATTTGCTGCTGCCCTGGGGGATGGCAAAGAACCTGAAGGCATATTTTCCAGAGTGGTGCAGTATCACTGAGGGGGACTCCAACACTGTCTGCCCTTTGCAGCCGAGCGTCTTAGGAAGTTTTCTTTTCCCATCACAGTAATTAAAATAGGGGCTAAGAATTATTTGTCACCAGTGTGTTTTATCACCAATTACTAATTTACATTTTAATAATAGGTGTAAGAGCCCCTTTTTTCCCCTCACTGCGACAGATCTAGAAATCATACAAATTATACAAATAAAGTTCGTGTGGTATTCAGAGCTTTGAATTGTGTTCTCTGGCATAAGCACACATGCCCTGGGTGCCCTGTGGGGGTGGGGGTGGGAGACTGCCAGGGTGAGGGGTCAGCTGGGAGAGCAGGAGCCAGATCGCTGAACTTTGACCTTGGCTCCCCCTTCAGGGCTGTGCTGGTAGCCTGTCCAGAACCCAAGCCTCCCAACCCCACACTGGCCCTGCCTATGCCTGACTTAATTTTTCTACCCTTCTAGCCCTCCCCTGGTTCTCCACGCTACAGCAGGGACCTGGGTGCTGAGCTCTCGGGCCACTCTGAGTCCCAGTTTCAATTTCTCTGCTTTCTGCCTCACTGCTGAGGCCAGTAAGAGCAGCAGGCTGGGTGTCTGTGCTGGTTCCAGTCCCACCTTTATGCTCACAAGCTAGGTGATCATCACATCACCCGGGGGGGAGATCTGCACGCAAGGGTTTTGGGTCCTTTCTCCAGATACTCTACTTCATTAAGTACAGAAACAAGCCCAGGATTTCCCAACATGCTCATTCACAGCAGCTCTAACTCTGCCTCCCTTATGTCCGTCCGTCTCTGCCTACTGCCTTGCTGGGGTGTCCATCCCCTGCTCAGGTCCAGGGTGAGCTGTTTCTACCCTCAGCTTCTCTTGCATGTACATTGAGCTCCCTCCAGCTTGGCTCTGTTCCCCTCTTGGCCAGCTCTGGTCTCTTGCTTCCTGCTACCACTGGGTCTGTAGTTGGGCCCAGCATGCCCGGGTACTCTCACCAAAGCCATCTGGAACCAAAATCCAACAGATAGAGTGAGCCCTTGACCTCTAAAGACCATGGACTTCCTCCCCTCTTCCCTCTCACTGCACTGTGCCTCTGTTCTGCGCTTCCACACACACCCTCTGCCCCAGGTAAGTTCTTGAGGCCCATGGTAGCGGTTGGTGTCTCCATTTATCAGGCAATGTACACCTGGCTACCCAAAATGAGTGCCCCCCGCCCCGCAACAGTCCCATGCCAGGTCCCTCATCCTTTGCTAGTAGTCCTCTGGAAGTCATTCTGGGTTCCTGTTGTGGACTCAAGACCCACCACCAAACCCATGGAGAGCCAATGAAATGCTGACCACCTACCACTTGGTGATCTCTTGAATCTGTCCCCTTCTCTTCATCCTCCTGCAAGCCAACATCTTTCCAGGCTCCAATTACTGTACTGGCCCCCTTACAGTCCCCTCCTCCTGGCTCTTGTCACTCCAGTGATGACCACCAGACCATTTGGAGGTCTTGTTCACTGTCCCTGGCTGTACCTAGTTCAGTGTCTGGCTATGGATACAAGGTGCTCAGGGCACCGTGTTTACCAGTGAGCAGGTTCTGCATACACACTAGGGTGGAGGACACAAGACTCCTTTGGTGTGTGGGACTGAGCTCTGTACAATGAGCTGCTGGGCAGGAGCTGCCTCTCCTTTGTCCACCTCAAAAAAGAAACACAACGATGTGATAAACCACCACAGGCTGCTCCCAGCACCCACTCCCCTTCCAGCAGCAGGGCCAGGTTTTCCTTCAGATAAGCCTAGGTGTATGGCCTGGCTCTAACTGGCTACAGCCATCCCCTTTTCCCTCTTTTCTGGCCACTGCTTAGGGGTTGGTAGAACAACCTAGGCGGGGCCAGTGAGAAGTAAGCTGTTGGCTGACAAGCGAGCGTTCCTCCTTTCCCGAGCCGGGTGCTGTTCAACCCGCAGAGCGGGACATCTGGATCGGAGAGCCTGGGGGAGGGAGATGGGACATTGTGTAGCCCCTGGAGAGGAAGCGAGGTCGGGTCTTGGTTGGCCCTCTATGAACTGCGGGCAGATTTCACCCGGGGTGAAAGCGGCGGCTCATCGGAGCGGAGCGCCGTCAGGAACCTCTCCAAGTTTCCGGACCTGCCCCGCCCAGGCTCCTACCCGGAATCTCCTCTCCAGCGTAGCCCACCCCCAGCCGCCCCTCGCCCAGGCTCTCCCCCCACCCGCACGTGGGTTCCTGCGCTAGTCCGGGTGAAAGCTGGGGCTCAGCGCACAGCGGCAGCTGACGAATCCGCGGCTCGGGCTCCGGTACGGATGCGAGGGCAGCACTGCCGTGGGCTCCGCGAGGAACCCCCGAGCCTTCCTGATGAACGGCTGAGGGATCGCGAGGGCTTCCTCCGAAGGCTCCCCTCCCCGCCCCTCCGTCCCGGGAGCCACCGCTGCCTTTCCCCAGGCTTTGCCGAAACCCCGAATCCAGCTCCTCCTCCTCTTCCCCTGCGGACTCGGTTCTCAAGGCAAGAACTTCAGGAGCCCCGTGTGAGCATCAGCCCGAAGCGCGGGCTCAGCGAGGCCCGGAGACGAGTGGCCACGCCCGCAGCCGCGGACGGACGCAGGCTATCGGCACGTCGTTGACGCGGGCTGGCGACGACTCACCGTCGGGCGCCCACTCTTTCGCGCTCGCAGCCACCCCCGGGAAGGCCTGCGACCTCCGCCAGCACCCGCGCGCGCCCTCGCGGATCCGGACCCCACCGTGCGCGGGCCCCCTCAGGGCAGGCCGGGGCTGCAGGGCGGGAGCTCCGCGAGCGGCCGGGTCTCCGCGCTGAGAGTACGGCCGCAGTGGGAAGACCGGAGTCTAAGGGCGCCCGGGGCGGGCACCCGCCGTAGTGCTTCCGGGTCGGGCTGTGGCCCTCTGGACCATCCGGGTGCCGCGGGGCCCTCTGGGTAACGAGCCCGCCCCCGCCCGCTCAGAGCTACGGCGTCGACGCCAGCCGCGACGCTGACGGGTAGGTCGCCCAGCCAATCGCGGCAAGGCGGCACCGGGCCGCCCGCAGAGCGAACCAATGATACGCGGGGGGGCGGGGCGGTCGCGGCCGTAGTGCGTCGCGAGGAGCCGCCCTGCCGGGAAGAAGCCCGAAGGGGAGTCGGCGGCACAAAATGGCGGCGGCGGCGGCGACGGTCGCTGCCGGGGCTCCGGGCCCGGCGGTCCCCGCCGCAGCGGCCTGCACTCCGGGCTCGGGGAGCGCAGCCCCCGGGTCGCAGGGGATGTTGATCGGGGACCGGCTGTACTCCGGCGTGCTCATCACCTTGGAGAACTGCCTCCTGCCTGACGACAAGCTCCGCTTCACGCCGTCCATGTCGAGTGGCCTTGACACCGACACGGAGACCGACCTCCGCGTGGTGGGCTGCGAGCTCATCCAGGCGGCCGGCATCCTGCTCCGCCTGCCGCAGGTGAGGGCGCGGCCGCGAGCCTCGGGTCGAGGTAACCGCCGCGCCGGCGCTGGGGGAGGCGACCGGGCCCTTTGTTGGCGGCGGGGTCCGGGCCAGCGCCGCCCCCGGCCCCGGGTTTCACCGCTGCTGTCCTTGGGGGCGAGGCGGGGCTCGAAGACCCTTTGAGGGCCTGCCGACCGTCCTGGTGTCCGGCTCTGTGTCCGCCGCGCGAAACGAGCGGCTTCCCCGCGAGGCTCTGGGTCGTGCTCTGGGGAATGACGGCGGCGCTGCTCTTCTGCAGGTGGCGATGGCCACCGGGCAGGTGCTGTTCCAGCGGTTTTTCTACACCAAGTCTTTCGTGAAGCACTCCATGGAGGTAAGGGCCTTCTCCGGCCTCCTGCGGGAGTGACGGAGGGGACCCCCGGCTGCCGGCCCGGCGGGTGGGGGGCGTCCCCGCGCCGCGGACGCAGGGCGGTCTCAGCGCCGCGGCTCTCGCCGTCCGTCGCGCTCGGCCGGAGGGACACACGCGTGCGTTGCGGTGCTTGCGTTCCAGCATGTGTCCATGGCGTGCGTGCACCTGGCCTCCAAGATAGAGGAGGCCCCGCGGCGGATCCGGGACGTCATCAACGTATTCCATCGCCTGCGGCATCTGAGGGAGAAGAAGTGAGTGTCCGTCGTGCTGAACGTCCGTCCCCCGCTGTCGTGGCTGCGCTGGCAGACGCTTCCGAGCGGGGCCCGGGCTGTGAGCCGTGCGGCCTCGTCCGGGCGGTGTCGGGCCGCTGCTGGGCGCGCGCGGGGGCCGCAGCGAAGAGGGCGGGAACGGGGCCTGCGGTTTTGTCTCGGCGGGTCCCCCTTGCCCAGCCTGTCGCCGAGCTGGGGCTGGGTTCGCACTTCCGCACCGTTTTGGGCTGGATGGTGCTTCGCCGTGGGGAGGTCTCGGGCGCGGTGGGACGTGGAGCCGCGCCCCGGCTTCCGGAAACTAGGCGCTAGCGGTCCGCTTGGCAGTCGCGACAGCCGGCAGCGACTCCGGCCCCGCTGCCCCTGGTTGACAGCCGCTGCCTGGACAGCCTGATCCTCACGTGAAGGGACGACGGCCTTCGGGGAGTAGAGCCTCGGGCTGCTGGAACGTTCTGCTCGCCGCGGGTCCTGGCTTCCACCCACTCGGAGCGCGTGCGCGTGGGTCGTGAGCCGGGGTTGGTGCCCTTGGATCTCGTGCGGCGACGCGGACAGCCGAGACGCTCCGAGCCGATACGCTCCGACCTGCGGCGAGGGAAGGAGCCTAGCCCGTCGGCGCGGGGGTTTGAGGAAGCCGCTCCGGTTTTGTTAAAGCTGCATGTGTATGGCGGTGCTTACAGTGGATTTCACCATGTGGAGGTCATTGGGATTCGAAAGGCATTGTTGGATTCGACTCTTACGGACGTGTGCTTTGTCTGTGCAGGAAACCTGTCCCTCTGCTGTTGGATCAAGATTATGTTAACTTAAAGAATCAGATTATAAAGGCAGAAAGACGAGTTCTCAAAGAGCTGGGTTTCTGTGTCCACGTGAAGCACCCTCACAAGGTGGGTATGTGCCCGGCCGCTGGGGAGCCACTGGGCGCCCGGCTCTCACCCAGATTGAAAGCGTTGAAGAGCAGTGACTGTGGGTTCCCGGTGTATGGCCAAAGTCTAAAGCCGGTTTCTTGTTTGTGGTGGTCTTTGAGCTCCCTGTGAACTTTAACTATGTTTTCAAGGGTTTGAAAATGGGGTCTTTGAAGTTTGCGCTTTCAGAAAGAATAGTGGTGAATTTGTAAAGATGGAATCTGTCCATTTATGTTTTCCTTTCTCAACACCTCGTTTTCTAACGTTGCTTTAGTGGTAGCGTATTTTCTCTTTTGGGGGAATTGGAAGGCTTCTGAGCCCTTTATTCGGAAACGAACTGAAGCGGCACATGACAGTTGAGGAGCACCTGCCGTCCAGTACCCTGGGAACCTGCTGTGCGACACATAAATCTCTTTTATTTTTTATTTTTTCAGAGATCTTATTTATTTATTTACTTGACAGACACAGGTCACAAGTAAGCAGAGGCAGGCAGATGGGCGGTGGGGGGGGGAAGCAGGCTCCTCGCTGAGCAGAGAGCCCAATGCGGGGCTCAATCCCAGGACCCTGAGATCATGACATGAGCTGAAGGCAGAGGCTTTAACCCACTGAGCCACCCAGGTGCCCCCGTAAACTTCTTTAAAAAAAGGAAAAAAAAGATTGGAATTTGAACTTTTACTTGTATTCCCTTTTTATTGCTGAATTTCTTCCTAACTTTTGTCTCTCGCTTGTTTGACTTTCTGGCATTAATTTAAATTCTTGATAAGTTACTGTAGACTTAGAGCTTTTATTTATTTGCCGGAAGTACTTTCATAACGTGTTTTGTGTAAGGTGGTGATTAGGGTACAGAGATGATTAGGACAAGCAGATCTCAGTTGTGGAAACTATGTCGAAGATGAGAATGAGAACAGCCTTGGGATGGCCATGGAAAGTCTGGCCGCCTTTGCTGTGGGTGCAGCCTGGGTTCGAAAGAAGGTAGCGGGGTCTGTCAGCAAAATCTCCCCTCCAGCTGAGCTGTGCACCGGGCGTATGACCAGGAGCCCCCCCCCCCCCGCCCCAGGATCTAGCCTGTGGCTCATATTTACTGCATGGACGCTCTCAAGATCTGGATTTTGGGTTCTCAAGGTTCTTGGTAATAACTGCCTGACCTGTATCTTCCAGATAATCGTTATGTACCTTCAGGTGTTAGAGTGTGAGCGTAACCAGCACCTGGTCCAGACCTCATGGTGAGTTGACCTTCCTTGTTTTATGAGACCAGCAAGGGCAGTGCAGGAATATGTTGATTTGAGGCACTTGGGCAGTGGGTAGTCGGTCCCATGACTCGGTTGTGGGCTGGAGTTGTCTGAGTGCCCAGTGTTCCTGCTATGTAAATTCTAACCAGCCTCCCAAAATATCAGGCACTAGTCTGACGGTAAGGTGCACCCCCAGCCTTCCAGGAGAGCTTTCACTGGGCTTCCCTTTGAGGGCTATTGACTTGGCACATTGGGATCTTCCCCACAGGTGCCAGTGTCGATGTAGTGGTCTTGTATCTCCTTGGAAGTTGCTTCTAACTGCCTCTTGTTAAAGAGGATCCTGTGGGAGAAAGGGTTAGGATAAAGTTTATCTGGGGACTGGTTTTTACAATGCGTATGTTAGAAATGAAGCCTGAAGTAGTAGTGCTGGGTGTTTGTGAATTTTCTTCCACGGAGTTAAGTCTGTAAGGGTCATATTTTTGCTGCCTGAATTGTCTGGTGCTATGCCATATCTAATAGAGAACCTATTTTGACTTTTCTTTTCTGTACTCTTTCAATCAAAGGGTAGCCTCTGAGGGTAAGTGACTAAGACTTCTCCTCTACTGTCCAAGCGCTTTGGTGCAGGGACAGCGGCCGTCCTCAGCCAATCCCGTGCAGGCTCTCCACCGAAGGCTGGCTCTAGATGGTGGTATGCGCACGATAGTATAGTGCTGGCCGACTGCTGCTGTGGTTCTCTGACGGTTGTGCTTCTTGTTAATCCTCTGTCGTGCTTTGGTAATTGTATTGATTAGAGTTAACTGTCTTGACTTGAATTTTGTCCCTTTAAAACTGCTGTACTTGTGCAATAAAGATGCAGTACCTTTCTCAAAAAAAAAAAAAAAAAAAAAAAAATCTATGGAAAACTACCAGAATTGGCTGATGGGAATTCAGACTGAATGACATGCCCTGGCTAAGTTTTATCTTCAGTATGGGATCATGTCATTATTCCTGGAAGTCCTAAAGTTGCTCCTCTCAACAGCTACATGTTGACACATTCTAGTAAAAGGTGTGCATCTTTACATTATTTCATGGACACTTCATATTGTAACTTAGATAAGCAGTAAGTTTAAATACACATTTCAAGGACTTTGTTTTGTTTTTAGGATTTAAAAGTTAATGTTGTCACTACTTGAGTGCTGAAAACTTATTAGAGCCAAAGAAGTTACTGATGCTTCTGTCTATGAAGCGTTTCAACTGTTCACTTTGCAATGATCTGAGACCTACGGCCTTGGTGCCATTGTGTAGGTCTTTTCCTTGATTTTCTCTTCATGCCTGGGGCAAGAGCTTCCAGAGCCGGGCGCCGCGGGTTGGCATGTGTCGAATAGATGAGAGATCTGAGTGGGTTTGTCTGTCGCCTTCTCCAGGGCTTAGGGCAGAGTTACCAGGGTGGGGGTGGGGGTGGGTCGAGTCAGACCACACAGTGGGACTTGGCTACCCTGTGGGTGTGGCCTGACGCTAAGGCTTGCGGTAGTGGGGTGTGTTAGGAGCAGCAAATGTATCATTTGTTCGACTGTTTCCTCATGGAATTAATCTGTTGTTTTTGCAATATGGATGAAATTAATATGAGATCCTGATTTTGGGCTATTAAATCCTAGACAAATAATATCTAAAAGAAAATGTTGACAATGTAGCCAATTTTAAAACCCTTAAACTTAAAAAATGCAAATGTTTTGTATTTTTATATTTTCTAAAGTACCATAATGTTTTTTAAATGTATTGATTATGATGAAACTTCTAGTGTTTTGTTGCTTTTGTCTGATTTTATGAATGTTCATTTTAAGACTCGTTATTGAAATGGGACAATTTGGAAACGGTTCTTTGATAAGCCTGAGAAGAGGACTTCCCTTTGGGCATTGAGCCTTCCTCTGCCTGATGTTCCCATGCGCCCAGGGGTGTTTTCCCTTTCCAAGTGGACTCCCTCATGGAAGGAGAAGGGCCAGGCCCTGAGCGCCTCTTCAAGGAAAAGGGATGCAAGAGGACGGCTTGTCACAGAAGAGCCCCCGCCCGCAGGCTGCCTGCTCAGCCCCTTCATTTGAGTTTGCATGTTTCTCTGCACTATGGATTTTGGGCCTTTAGATTTCTTCCCTCAAGTACATTTCAGCCACTACAGTAGACATTCTCTCTCTGAGGCATTGTGCTCTGCACGAGAACAGCCAGAAGTTGAGGGAAAAGTAAAGTTAAAGTCGGTTCTCTTTCATAGCAACATGTGTTGTCTGACATTCAGCCAGCTTTTTAGATCTTTTGTCCCAGTCATTTCCCTGTTTTCCTGTCCTCTAGTCACAGAAAGCAGCTAGAATGTCTCTCCAGGAATCCTGAGCCTCACAGGACTGTGTAGCTCTAAGCCTAGGAGTAGACGGCGTAGAGTAGTGGTTGGATCTAGGTGGCGCGCACGGGTTTCCTGGGGGTGCCCGGGGCGTTGCAGTCTTCCCTGCATTTGGTTTTCAGGAATTACATGAACGACAGCCTCCGCACAGACGTCTTCGTGAGGTTCCAGCCTGAGAGCATCGCCTGTGCCTGCATTTATCTTGCTGCCCGGACGCTGGAGGTCAGTGTTGTGCTCCCGCAGGGGGTCCTGGTCTGCTGCTTTCTCCAGCCTCCAGACAACTTCTGCGTAGTGTTTTTCAGATTATGCTCACGTATGCCAAGAAAAAGCCTGTCTCTCGGTGACCAGCAAGGCGTATTTTTTATTGCCATCTTGTTGGCCACGCAGGAAAGTGTTCACAAGGATGGTGTTTGTGTTCACAGATTCCTCTGCCCAATCGTCCCCATTGGTTTCTTCTGTTTGGAGCAACTGAAGAAGAAATTCAAGAGATCTGCCTGAAAATCCTGCAGCTTTACACTCGGAAAAAGGTTCTGTGTTGTTTTCGTATAACATACACATTTGTATTTCGTTAGAAGCCGGCTCTGAATTGTTTCGGATTTTGATTCCTATAGGTTGATCTGACACACCTGGAAAGTGAAGTTGAGAAGAGAAGGCGCGCCATGGAGGAGGCCAAGGCCCAAGCCAAGGGCCTACTGCCCGCCGGCCCCCGGGTTCTGGACAGCACTTCGGGGTTCTCACCCGCCCCCAAGCTGGGTGAGTGTGAGGGGGTGTGGGCCTCCTGTCTGCTAGGCTTCTCTTGGAACTGTGTCTGCTGCTGGCCTGAGCGGTCTGCAGGCACCAGGGTCCCCAGCGGACATCTGCTGATTTTTGAAGTGAGAGCAGTCCCCCTAAAGGAGTTTGGATCGTTTTTATATTGTCTTTCTCTTTTTGTTTATTTTTTAAGATATTATTTATTCATTTGAGAGAGAGAGAGTGAGTGCTTGTGTACAAGTTAGGGGAGAGAGGGAGAGGCAGACTCCCCACTGAGCAGGGAGCCCAATGTGGGGCTTGACACCAGGACCCCTGAGATCATGGCCCTAGCTGAAGGTAGACGCTTAACCATCTGAGCCACCCAGGCGCCCCCAAGATTTTGTTTTTAAGTAATCTCTACAACCAATGTGGAGCTCAAACTTAAAACCCTGAGAAATCAGGAATTGCAGGCTCCACCAAGTGAGCCAGCCAGGCTCCCCTTGTTTTAACATGTTCATTAGCAAGGGACGTGGACAGGCTTTCAAAAATGCCTTTTTTTTTTAAACCTGGCCCACCTGATTAACTTGTCTTCTGATGAAAATTTTATAAATCCGGGGTAGTAGAGTGTGTCTTCGGGTCATATTAGAGTTAAGCATGGTGTACATCTCCAATCCCTGAGGGAAAGTGAGACAGGTGGCTTTTTCTGTGTCTTTTGGGGGCAGGTTTAGCTTCTGAGTCCCAGGCTGGGAACAGGGAGTCTCCGTAAGTCCCATAGACCTAGTATTATCTTATTCTGCTAATGTGTTTTCTATCAGAACATTTTCTTGGTGGTTAGGTTTTAACTTGTATTTGATTCTAGCAGAATCCCCAAAAGAAAGTAAAGGAAACAAGCCTTCCCCACTCTCTGTGAAGAATGCCAAGAGGAAAATGGAGGGTGTGAAGAAAGTCAAGGCTGACAGCCCAGTGAATGGGTGAGTACCCAAGCACCCCAGTAGGCCTTTGGGGTTGGCTGGAGAGACTTGAAGCCTGTAACTGCTCCCATCATTTGTTTGTAGTTTGCCAAAGGGGCGAGGGAGTCGAAGTCGGAGCGGGAGTCGAGAGCAGAGCTACTCAAGGTCCCCATCACGATCTGCTTCTCCTAAGAGGAGGTACGTGCTACTCAGGTTGCGGGGGTGGGGGCGCCTGCCCCTGACAAGGGATGTTTTCCCCAGGGTGGCTGCCCCTCACGGGAAAGTCACTTCTGACTCCGGGGTGGTTGGAGTGAGTGGTCACCTGTTCGGTGGTGCTGTCCTTCCTCACAGAAAAAGTGACAGCGGCTCCACGTCTGGCGGGTCCAAGTCGCAGAGCCGTTCACGGAGCAGGAGTGACTCCCCACCCAGACAGGCGCACAGAGGCGCTCCCTACAAAGGCTCCAAGGTGAGGAGCTACCGGAAGTCTAAGGACTGCAAGTACCCCACCCAGAAGCCACACAAGTCCCGGAGTCGGAGCTCCTCTCGCTCTCGAAGCCGCTCCCGGGAGCGGGCAGATAATTCCGGGAAGTATAAGAAGAAAAGTCATTACTATAGAGATCAGCGCAGGGAGCGTTCCCGGTCTTACGAGCGAACAAGCCATCGCTACGAGCGGGATCACCCTGGGCACAGCAGGCATCGGAGGTGAGGCACTGGGCTCCCAGAGCGCTGCCCTTTGACCCTTGGTGTGCGCACTGTGGCATGGCCAGCCCTGTGGTGCGGCTCTTTGGAAATGGATGTTGACTCTGGACCTTGTGATGAATTTGGAGATGGACTCAAGAGGCCGGCGAGGTGCCCTTTAGGCCGGCCTGGGCACAGCGCGCCTGGGTACAGCGCACACTCCTCGTGCCAGCACAGGGCCCACCTCAGCAGCAGCCCTGTGGAAGCAGATGTGTACATCCTGGTGGTGTGGCTTGGTGCTAATGACAGGCTGTGTCTTCACTCCCATACCAATACTCAATTACGTTAAACCAAGAAAATGACTTTTAGAACCTTTGCCTATATTAGGTTGTACTTATGTACATATTTTGCAGTGTTTCACAGTGAGAAAATGGCCTTAATCGCCCCTTATTGTCCATTCACCCTGTAAATAAACATGTGTTTACTACAAGTTAAAGCTATACATGAGAACTCAGAACTTGAATTGTCAGCTTAAAACTTGTGTAGAGAATTCTGATTTTTAAAATGTGAAGGTATTTAGATCTGTGTTGAAAGTCGTATATTTTTATCTGTGCGATGCTGAGTGCAGGCCACCAGCTCCCAAATAGAGAAGTTTCCTATATATGCATTTTACGTGGTTAAATAAACAATTCTCTCTACTCAGGACATTTGGACATTCCAGAATGTGTGGTTTGTTGTCCTGCTTGCTTGTTCTGTGCACGGCCTGCAGCCCCTGTCGTAGTGGCCAGTCTGCACCGCGGCCTCTGATCTCATTAAAGTGTTGGGGTCTATACCGAGCTGTGCGGCTGCTCTTCGTGGAAGGCTTGCTCTGAGCCTGAGCTGGGACCCAGGCGGCTTCCTGGGGGGCAGGGAGGGAGGGTTGGGAGAGGCCAGAGCGGCTCTGAGGGACAGCGGCAAGCAGCCCTGGGCGGTGGGCGCCCTTGGGTGGGTTCTGGGGAGGGGGTGGGCGGGTCAGCGCGGCCCAGCACCTGCAGTCCAGGGGGCTCGCGGCCGCCTTAGCAGACCCCTCTACTTCGGAGCCCGGGCGGCAGCTCCCGAAAGGCCCCGGGGCAGAAGCGTCCACTGTCCCCGCAAACTCAGCCAGACCGAAGGCGGGGGCGCCCAGGACAGCCGCAACGGGTCTGCCTGCGGTTTCCGGGTCTGCACCCCCACCCCCCTACGGCACAGGACGGGGCTCGTCGGCTTCCGCACGGCCCGTGTACTCCGCGCACCACCGGCGCCACGGCAGGGACTCCTCCCCTGCCCCGGTGCGGCACCGGCACCGGCACCGGCCGCTTCGTGGCCCCTCTACTTCCGCCGCGGGCGCCAACGCCATTTCCGCTCGCCCTGGGCGACTGGCCACTGGCTGTTCGGGACATACTGCGAGGTCGGGCCGCGCAGGCGCACGGGGGTGTCCCTTAGGATTGTGGGAAATGTAGTTCTCTGGCCGCCTCGAGGGAGAGGCCGAGCCTAGGGCTGTGGGCGGGGCGGGCCGCTCCTCCGGCCGGAAACGGCTGTTTTCCGGGGCTGGAGGCCCTTGCGCCGACGCGCAGTCGGACACCGGGAGGGCGCCAGGGGGCGCCCGGAGTGGGTCGCACCGGGCGGCCGCACGCGGGACCGGGGGCCGGTTTGGGGACGGACCGGAAGTGCCTACACTGGGCGGCGGAGCGGTCAGTTTCAGGCCCCGGGTTTAGGTCTGGGGAGGGTCGGCGGGCGGCCGCGGCTGCGGGGGCACGGCGGCCGGGTGAGGCTGGGGCCTGCTGGGGTGGGAGAGGGGGACGAGGGGGACGAGGGTGATGGGCTGCGGGAGTCCTGGCCTCCCCGGGGCTGCTGCACGCGCCCCCCGGCCACTCCCGCGTGACCCTTGCGCGCGCCTGTGTTCCAGCCACGCGGACCACCTGGGCCGCCACCACCCACGGACCATGCTCCTGGTGCGCCTGACTTCTCGGCTGCTGAGGGCTGTTCCTCGGGCAGGTAAGAGGCCCCGTGGGGGCAAGGCGGCCGGGCAGACTTTGGGGTGAGTAATCCCAGCGGCCCGCAGGTGGCCGGGCCTCACCGGCTGGAGGCCGCGGCCTGGCCGCGCAAACTCCTCGCGAACGTCCAAGGAGCACAAAGGGAAAGTCCGGGCCTGAGAACATCAGCCTGAATTCCGGCGGAGACACGGCTCTGCTGCCCAGTCCCCGAGGCAGGATTGGCCGCGCTCGAGCCTCGTTGCGTGGCTGGTGCCTGTGCCGTCTTGCTTCCTGCAGGTTGCGGTGGACCCTGGCCTGTGTCAGGGGTGCCAGGCGGACGGGCCTGCAGGCCTTGCTACAGCACCCAGCCCACAGCCCCAAGTGGAGTAGCCTCCGTCCCCGGCAAGGGGCTCCAGCTGGAGCTTGAGGAGATCCTGGTCCCCAGGAAGATGTCTGTCAGTCCTCTGGAGAGCTGGCTGACCGCGCACTACCTCCTACCCAGACTAGCGGCCAGGGCCCTAGGGCCGGTGGCTCCATCCCTGCTCTATGAGTGTCCACCCAGCCCAGTGGGGTTAGGGGCCGAGCAGGGGATGGAGGAGGTCTCAGATGCCCCCGGGATGCAGTGTAAGAACGTGCTGAAGATTCGCAGGCGGAAGATGAATCATCACAAGTACCGGAAGCTGGTCAAGAGGACCCGGTTCCTGCGCCGAAAGGTGCGGGAAGGACGCCTGAAACGGAAGCAGGTAAGTGTGGGGTGTGAGCCTCTCAACCTAGGGTGGGGCAAGGCGGCTGAGCACGCGTGACCGTGCCACAGACCCATCGGTGGTCGCTCCCTTGCAGATCAAGTTCGAGAGAGACCTGAGGCGCATCTGGCTGAAGGCAGGCCTGAAGGAGGCTCCTGCAGGCTGGCAGACCCCCAAGATCTACCTGAAGAGCAAATGAGTCTAGTGCTGCTCTGTCCCATCTCTGTTGCTGCCGATGACCCACTAATAAATGTTCAGGAACTTAGCCGTTCCCCGGGGGACCTGGTCCCTCTGCTGCCTAGTGGGAGCGATCTTGGGATTGATGCTGGTGCCGGCCTCTGGTTTTCTTGGAGGCACAAGAGCCCCAGGGTGCAGATCGGGGTCCCTTCCCCAAGAGGGCCCTTGTCCTGGGGCCAAGGCCACAGGAGTGACAGTCTCCTTATTTAGCTGCAGACAAAGGCCCAGTGCTGCCCTCTACGCACTTGTATTCTACTGTGGGAGGCAGACTCTTAACACACTGGTGGCAGAAGTACCACGGGCCAATGCGTGTACACGGGGGCTAGGGGGTGCCCAGACTGAGTTGGGAGTGTGGTTAAATTGGGAGGGGACAGGGAGGACCTCATGGGGAAGACTAGGGGGGCAGGCTCTGCCCCCAGAGATGATGGATGGGACCCTGCAGTCCCCCCAGACCTGGGCCTCCAGTGGCTCTCCGAGCTGTCCTGCTCCGCTAGGGCTGGGGACCCCTGGTCTCCCTTGGCCTCTGCTGCCTCATGAGACCCTGAATGGGGGCTGATCAGGAAGGGATGGCTTGGAGGGTGTGCTCTGGCAGCGTTGGGGGTGGCTGAGAAAGTGGTGCTGTTTGTGGAGCTGGAGAAACCCTGGAGACTTAGCGTGAGCCCGTGGACCACTGCATCCAGGCTGGGCGAGGGCTGGGCTGCCGGCAAGGGAGCTAGGCCAGAGTGCCCTGAATGTGGCAGAGGCTTTTCTCGGGCTCTGCCTGGCTCCCTGAGGGCACACTTAGAGGCTAGGACAAGCGGTTCATCTCTTCTTGGCCAGCTGCTAGAGGCTCTTAGGACACTGGCATTCTCCCTTGATCCCTTCTCAGGGCTGTTCAGGGCTGCGTCACTTCTCACGGGGCTGTGGGGAGGCCTTGCTTTGTCATATAGAGGTGTCTGGGAGTGGGGGTTGGGTTCTGTGCACATCAGGCAGATCCTGGGGAGGAGCAGGGGTTTCCCTGCAGGTTCTTGGTTGTGCTGCTCACCCCACATTCTTTTAGGGTGCTGGGGAGGCCCTTGCCACGTGCATGGCAGCCAACCAGCTAGGTTAGCAGGCTTCCAACTGCTGGGCCGGTCTGAGTCCCTGTCGGTCGGGGACACAGCCCATGCACGTGCTGGGTGTGGCGGAGGAGGGTGAAGTGGCCATGACCTGGGAGGGACCTGACGCCATTGAGGGAGCAGGCCGCCTTCTTCATGGGGCTGCCAGGGGTCAGCAGTTGGGCTCCCAGCAGCCCCTGGGGTCAGGGCTGAGGTCCAGGACAGCCAGAGCACCCTGCCAGCCCAGTCACCTGAGAGGACACAGCGAGCCCCTGGAAGGCCCCCAACTAGGGTCCCAGGCACCCTTCCTGGGTCTTGGTTTCCCTATCTGGAGGTTGCAGGGCGGGGGCAGAGGCATCAGGGCCCAGTGATGGAGCCCTCTGGGGTGGAGAAGACCGTGACCTATTAGTACCAAGCATGGCCTCATCCCGCCTGGCTTCTCAGCAGGGCCTCCGTCTGCCGGTGGCGCCCTTGTCCAATGCCCATGGCTGCTGGGTACCCGTGTCTCCTCCCAGCCCTGTCGCAGTGGCTGTCCTGTGGCTCCCTCTGGCCTTCCCCCCCCCCCCCGCCCCGTGGGTGAGAGGAGCGTCCGGATGCTAAGTTGATCTGCCATCTGGAGACCAAGCCTCTGTCCCGAGCAGAGCGTGGCCGGCTGGGGAGTCCAGGAGGTGTGAGTGACCGGCTTGTGCAGGAAGCCACAGACCCGCGCTCCTGGAGTTGTCTGCTGACAGGGCGGCACCACATGGCCCTTGCTCCAACTTCTGCCCCCTGGTCAGGGGGCGGGGGTCCCCTGAGGTACGGCACCTGGCCACATCTGGAGAGATTTCTGGTTGTCTCAGTTGGGGTCCTGCTGACAACAGTGGGAAGAGTGTGGGAGTGCGGCTGGAAATGCCCTGTAATGCACAGGACAGCCGACACCTAAAAGTCTCCAGACATCAGTGGTGCCACAGCTGAGACCTCTGCTCCAGATGTCACTGCTCCCATGGGGTCAGGTCCTGAGCCTGCCCAACCCCCCCACCCCCGCCACTGCCTGGGCTGCCCTTGTACGGATCACACTCTGTGGCTTGGGTGTGTTCGCGCCCCAACCACGACTTCAGGAGGCAATTTTGGTGCTTTATTTTTATATCTGCCGTTCCTCCCAGGCTATAAGAAACTTCCTCTTC